CTTTTAGAAAACATGGAGTTGTTCTTTTGGCCACATATATGCAAATCTACAAGAAAGGTGATATTGTAGACATCAAGGAAATGGGTGTTGTTCAAAAAGGCATGCCACATAAATGTTACCATGGCAAAACTGGAAGAGTCTGCAATGTTACCCAGCATGTTGTTGGCATTATTGTAAACAAACAAGGACAAGATTCTTGCCAAGAGGATTAATGTTCATATTGAGCATATTAAGCACTCTAAGAGCTGAGATAGCTTCCTGAAACTCATGAAGGAAAATGATCAGAAAAAGAAGAAAGCCAAAGAGAAAAGTACTTAGGTTCAACTGAAGTGCCATTCTGCTCCACCCAGAGAAGCCCACTTTGTGAGAACCAACGGAAAAAAGCCTGAGCTCCTGGAACCCATTCCCTGTGACTTCATGGCATAATGGGCATATAACATAGCACACAAGAGAACATAGTTCCCATGGAACTATGATATTAGGTGCTGGAACTTATTTATTCCAGCAATTCATGGCATAATAGGTGTACAGCATAGCACACAGGAGAAACAACAGACCCCATGTAACAGTGATATAAGGTGCTGGAACCTATTCCCCACGAATTCATAGCATAACAGTCATGTAATACTTTGTCACATTCAATAGCAAGGTGCCTGCCTCCCTGAGCTACTAGAACCTTTTCCTTATGAATTCATGGCATAATAGATGTTAAAAATAATAACCTACTGCTACTATAAAATGTTCTCATCATTCACTAAAAGTGTGGTATGTTTTTCCCTAAAGAAGTATTAAAAGGGGCTAAGCCTGTGGCTCAGTGAGTAGAGGGCCGGCCCCATATACCAAGGGTGGCGGGTTCAAACCCTGCCCAGTCAAACTGCAACAAAAAATAGCCGGGTGTTGTAGCAGGCACCTGTAGTCCCAGCTACTCAGGAGGCTGAGGCAAGAGAATCACCTAAGCCCAAGAGCTGAAGGTTGCTGTGAGCTGTGATGCCACAGCATTTTACCAAGAGCAACAAAA